AGCCTAGTGATTCTTGCAGTATGATGAAGTGCATGAGGTCATGAGTTCTTCTCCCACCGGTGAGATTTTTTTATTAATTAAAACACACACAAATTGATGATATGGAATGACTAGCAATTATGTGGCATCCGTGACGTGGCAGGTTGGATGATGTGGCAAAAAAATATCCTAATTTAGGAAATAAGTTTAAAAGTACCCCACTTTAAGAAATAAGTTTTGGAACTACATTAGTTTAGAAAAAATTAGGGCAATTTCTAAAATAAAAAATGGATTTTCTTGCTTGAGCATAGCCATGCTTCCATTTCTTCGTCCCCTGAAGTTCTGGTGAATCACTTCAAATTCCAGGCATTATTCAAGAAATGATATCTCAACAACACTTCCACTTCGCGTATCCGAACTTTTACTCCTCCACCTTCATCCCTTCTAATCCAATCGCATCTAAAACCCTAAAACCATCCGCCAAACCCTATTCACCCCCCACCACCGCGGCACGAGCAGTTCTGCAGTACAACCGGAAGCCTCAACTCGCCGGAGAAACCCCCCGAGTCGTCGTTATCACCTCCGGCAAAGGAGGGGTCGGCAAGACCACCACCACCGCCAACATCGGCCTCTCCCTCGCCCGCCTCGGTTTCTCCATCGTCGCCATTGATGCTGACGTCGGTTTGCGTAACCTCGACCTCTTGCTCGGTCTTGAGAACCGTGTCAATTACACCGTCGTCGAGGTTCTCAACGGAGATTGCCGGCTCGATCAGGCTCTCGTCCGAGACAAGCGGTGGTCCAACTTCGAGCTACTCTGTATCTCCAAACCTAGATCCAAACTTCCGATTGGCTTCGGCGGGAAAGCACTGGTCTGGGTTGTAGACTCCCTAAAGGCACGGGATACAGGAGTACCGGATTTCATCCTCATTGACTGTCCAGCAGGAATAGATGCTGGATTCATCACGGCAATCACACCGGCGAATGAGGCTGTCCTGGTGACGACGCCGGACATCACTAGCCTCCGTGACGCAGACCGGGTGACGGGGCTGCTGGAATGTGATGGAATAAGAGACATTAAGATGATTGTGAATCGAGTTCGGACTGATATGATCAAGGGGGAAGACATGATGTCCGTGCTTGATGTGCAGGAAATGTTGGGTTTGCCATTGTTGGGGGCGATTCCAGAAGATTCGGAGGTGATCAGAAGTACGAACAGGGGATATCCACTGGTTTTGAACAAGCCACCTTCACTGGCAGGGCTTGCGTTTGAGCAAGCTGCCTGGAGGTTGGTTGAGCAGGATAGTATGGAAGCTGTTTTGGAAGAAGAAGAAAAGCCAAAGAAACGTGGGTTTTTCTCATTCTTTGGCTGCTAGAATTTGTAGTCATTTTTTTCCTAAAGGGGAGAAGCTTTGTACAGTAGGAAGTGAGGTTTGCAGCTATTCCTTTTTCATTCTTATCATGTTTTTTCCTCTCTTATTGTTAGCTGTGGATTATAAATTATCATCCTTCCATTTTAGATGATCAAATTGAGCTGATCTGTGTTATCTGACTCCCAGTCAGTAATCAAATTCGTTTTTGTAATCAAGGATTTTGGTAGTTACCTTAAATAGCTGCCTCAGTTTGGTGTCTAATACTCAGTAGATTATTGCAATGAGAAGTAAATTGCTTTATATTCTTTCTCATGTAACTCATAGTTCCAACTTTAAATAATTTTGTTTAGTTCACGGAATCTAAGACCTTAAGTACTCTCCAATATATGATATACTACGTACTTCGTATAAGGTTACCTAGGTGCCCGTGGGTAGTGAGATTACATGAAAATAAGTAATGTTGCATCAATCTGGTATGATATGTTTGGTTGAGATAATAAAAGTGCATATACTAATCTGTCTCAAAGCAACTGCATACTTGAGTTCAATAGCAAAACTAAAATATTATCAACTTAGTTTTACAATATCTAAACACCCCAAGACAATAAGATTTACTGTAACATTATCTCATCTCACTTTTCATGTAAAAATTTGAATCAAACAAGTTTTTTCGCATGCTACTTTGCCCAGAACATCAAGCTCAGATAAACAAGATGCTTGTAACATGAAAATCCCAATCAAATTAATCTTACATTCCCAACTTCTAGGATAGCTAAAACATTAATAAAAAAATGACGCTATATTACCTCCTTATTCCCTAGGTTCAGGATATATTTCACAATGCAATGTGATATTATCTGTTCAATTTAAGTTTTAGATGACCCTGCCAATATTATGAGATTACCTGGAATTCTTATGCATTGTAGACACTAGACAGTGTTCATAATTGTGCAATGCCTTCACGCCTTGGTTCATGCATCAGCAATCTTGGGGCAAGTCAATAAGGCTACTTCCAAATTAAGCAATGTTAGGGCTTATGCCTTTTTGGACAGGCGTAGAATGAAGTAGGATTCAGTCCTACACAAATGCATATTAGTTGTGTACACTTCAATAAGACAACTTATTTTAATTTGAAAACTTCTCGAGCTCTTCACTTCTCTTCTTCGACAATCACCTTCTTAAACTCTTCATTCTATTTTCTCAAGTTCTTTGCATGGTATTCTTTTGTTTTTTTTGTTTTCCCCTTATTACTGTGTTATATTTTGTTTGATGTTGGTATGATATCAGAATCAACATGATGTGATGAACTAATTCTCCTATTCTGGGAGATGTTTTTTCGCCTCCTATATTTTCTCATTTCGGTTAATGATAAATGTAGTCGTCGAGGATGACAATGATGATAATGATAGTGGTGAGGTTTGGCCGCTAATTCAAATTTCAAACCACTAGATATTGGTCACCTTATTTTTCATTCCTCAGTCCAAGTAAAAACATGAATTTAAAAGTGAATTTGAACTTACGCTCCCGGAGGATGTAAATCGCTGAAGTAACAGAGGAAAAACTGTCGGGTTGTGAACGTTGAAATCTTAAATCAACTATTACATGTAATATGAATAACTAATGTTCTAGCTCATGAAAAAAAAATACTCCGTAGTATGCAAGAAACAGAAAAACCAAATATGTAAACTGCAAACAACCCTTCCGGAAATAAAGGCTAATTATTTAGGTTCTGGAAGGCATAAAAATGAAAATGTTAATTATTACTGTACCATGTATGTAGTATATAGATAGACTTCCATCTGGGAATAATCGAAAATATATGGAGAGTGTTTAGCGTTGAAGTGTTAATGGATAGCAGATTATGCTAACAATTTGTTAACGGATTCAATGATCTGATTTGACTAGCTCAATAAGTTATCTTGGAACAATTAAAAATATATATATTTGACGTGTTTGGCATTGTGCAATTAATGAATAACAGATTATGTTAGTAGGTTGTCAACAATAAATTGAGTGACCGGATTTGATTAGCACAATAAGTTATGACGTATATTGGAATAATTTGAGCGTGTTTGGCATTGAGCAGTTAATGAATACTCCCTCCGTCCCGAATTGAATTGCAAACTTTGATCGGCACAAGGATTAAGAAATGACAATAAATGATTCTTGCTTTTTACATTTTTGCCCATCTTTCTAAAACTAGATGCCTTTAAGTTAATGGGGAAAAAGTAAAAGTAAGGGTAAATTTGTCACTTTATTCTTATTTACATATCTAAAATAGAAAGTGGAAAACCATTTTGGGACAACCAAAAAAGGAAATTTTGCAAATCAAATTGGGACGGAGGGAGTAGCATATTATGTTAACAAGTTGTTAACAATGGATCAGTGATCGGATTTGACTAGCGGAATAAATTGATGAGTTGTCTATTTCAAACCGCTATCTGAAAGAGTTGCTATTTGTAGCATTGCTATTTATGTGAAAACCCTGGAAAAAGTTAAATCACTAATTTTCTTTTTTGTTAAAATGTCATTTTTCAAACACCTCAACTCGTCAGCTCTGATTTATTGCTAGCCTGTGTGGACAATATTGAGTCTAGCATTGCCACCAAGTAAGCATCTTTTTCAAACATTGAGTTTCTTTTGTTTTTATGGGGATGTCGCTTGTGCATGAGGCCATGAGTTATAAATATAAGTACAAGTCTCGAGACCAAACAAAATGGATTGGGGTAGGAAGGGTCCCTAGACCTCCATGGGCAGAGGCAAGAAGGGGCCATACTAGATCATTCTATTTCTCTATCTTAAAAAGCTCAAAGTTGCAAATCACCTCTTTTATAGGAGGTTCTGTCTGGCCATCACCATTTGGGGCGGTTAACGATGAAATTTTTTGATGATTTTTTTTAAAGTCTTCTTCATTAAGTCTAGTTTACCCATACCAAATTTCAGGTAAAAATTCAACCGGGAAGGCAGTCAAATGATTTTCTGAAATATACTGCGCAGTTATTTTGAAACATTTATTTGACTGCCTTCACGATTGAATTTTTAGCTGAAATTTGGTATGAGTAAACTAGACTTAATGAATAAGATGTTAAAAAAATTCATCAAAAAATTCCACCGGTAAACACCTCAAATGGTGAAGGCCGGACATAGCTTCCTATAAAAGGGGTGATTTGCAGTTTTTCGGTTACTTCGAAGGCTTATTTGCCTCTTTTCCCTTAAAAAATAATTAAATCTATCTTCTTCACTCTATCTCTCTACATCTCTCCCACCAGAAAAATCCAGTTACCGGAGAGGAGCAAAATTCAATTGAAACACTGCTTAAATATCACTTATTGCTAATAAACTAGTACACGACTCAAGTAATTTTGGAGCAAATCGCAGTTAATTACGTACATAGTCAACAAAATCTGTTGGTTGTAATAATAATTTTAAATACATGAAGGCCGGACGAAGTCAAACCCAGGACATAGTCAATGGTTGACAAAAAAAAAAGATTGGCTAATAAACGTATTCCTAATATTTAATGCAGGCAGTCAAATTTGACGATAATAAGAAAATAGTCTTTACAAATTACAACTCATGCAACAAGATAAACTTGAAGTATTTTTTCTCTATTATATTATTTAATAATTTTGCACATGCACCTACTTCAATTTTGCCTATAAATAGGTTTGAAGCTCAATCTTCAAGATATTGTAACTTAGTATTTCATTTAGTAAATTTCGTTCTCATCATTATAAGCAATTATCAATATCATCATCGAATTGAATTGGCTATGGCTGCGTGTAACAAAGTTGTGTTCTTCACCATTCTCCTTCTGAGTGGTACGTACGTGTGTGTTTATATGTGCTTTCACTTTTTGATAGTGTATATATTGCGGGACAACAATTCTCGGTGTATACAAAATTTGTACACACTTGACAGATTTGGCGTAATTATCTGTGTACATAGACAACTACTGAATGGCCGAGCTGTATGCCTGTATATGTATATGATGGATAGTGTATCCGGAGGTAGCTTATCCGAAAGGTTATTACGGGGAATAACTAGAGAAAAGTCAGAGCAAGTAAGGGAGAGAAAGTGTATTGAATATGTGAGTTCAGTCTTTTTAGCGTGTTTTACAACGGGAAATGGGGTGCTATTTATAGTAGCAATAAATGTCAGACAGAGACACGTGTCAAACATCCATTGGTCGTGGGGTCACCTCAACTGGTTGTCGTTGGCAATCACATATGGCCGCATTTAATGCGGCTGTTGGATGTGACGTTGTACTTGGTACGGTGATCCATGCACATGTGGAGCGGATATTATGTCGGAAAGGTGCCCTCGGCTGTAGATGACTAGCCGAGGGCTCTGAGTACCGGGGACCTCCTTGGTGCCGAGGGCTACTGATTTTCGCCGTTTTCTCCCAGTAACTTTGTTTTCCTGATTTGGCCATCCTGTGAGAATTGGAGCCTTCGGCCAGGGGGCCGAAGGCACCCCTGGTGCGCACTGTGGGCCGCTTGGTACTCTGGGCGCTGTGATTTGGGCCTGTTGTGCGTCCTGGGCCTATTGAGCCTCTATTGGAGTAGTAGGAGTCTGTGGACCGGGGGTTCCCGGGCCATATACTCCATCAGTATACATGCAATTAGGGGCGTACACATTATCTCTGTGCACAGATAATTATGTACAAATGTGTGTCAAACACATATTATAGTATACTCGGTATAACAAATCAATATACTTTAAAGTTATGAAATATATAAGACGTTTTTAAGCATGCCCGTATTTTCGACTCAATTATATTTTTCTTTTCGATCTCTATTTTCGACTTATTAGTCTCATCACTCAATCTTATTGTCAAACATTAATTTTTGATTTCGCACGCTGAATCGTGTTATAATCAAAATAAGTAACGATGTAGTTAGTTTGTTATTGAATTGGTTGAAGTTATTGTAAAGAATTTTTCTAGTTATTTATCATATAATTTTTCTTTATTTTATTGATATATATATATATATATATAAAGTATAATTTTTCGTAATAAGGCACCTAATAAGCCATAATTTAATTAATTTAAGTGGAATCAACCGATTTCAGTGTTATGAAATGAGTTTTTAATGAAGTTTGACTTGAAAATTTGAATTGGGAAGGGTTATAATTTTGCGACATAATAATGATCGTGCATAATAATTTAAAAAATTAACAATTTTATATTAGGACAATTCAATTCATTGGATGTGATTTTAGTTCAACATATACTTAAAAAAGGAACTTATATGTTTTGTTATATGGCAGGTATCCTTTTTCTGGAAAATAAGGTGGAACATGTTAGTGCTCAGATTTGCACTGCAGATTGTGCCCCTGGAGTAGAATATATGATCTGCCCACCAAAGAAGAGGACTAAGCCAAATTGCACAAATTGTTGTCGAGCTAAAAACAATCGATGTCAGCTCTATCGTTCTGATAATTCTCAAATATGCACTTAATTATTCCAGATTGGTGTATTAAATAAAACTAAATACAAATAATTCGATCATATAAGATATATGTGCATTGATCAAATAAATAAATAAATAAATAAATAAGTGTGTGTGTATATAATATAATGCATAGTATAAGTTATTGTGAAATTCCTAAATAAATTAAGCAGAGTATTGTGTTTACAAAAGAGTCTTTTTACATAGTACTTTACTATTGTACACACTTGTACACATGTATATGAAGCATATTTGTCTCTCAAAGACAAAACATGTGTAAAAATATGTATAACAATGAAGTGTGTACGACAAGAATTGTTGATGTATTTATGCCTATGTACTATAGCAGCTTTGCCTTTGCTACAAGAATAAAGATGTATCCCAGTATTAAATAACAGAGAATAATAAAGTTAAAACTGTGTGGTTGATGTTTGTGCAGAGGAGAGAGAAATATCAGGAACCACAAAATAATTGATTAAAAAGGAAAGTGACAAAGTTTTTTGGGACGTTTCAAAAAGGAAAGATGACAAAGTTTTAAGGGACGGGGGGAGTAATTTAATGAAGGCATATATTCATTTTGTGTTTTGATTTTAACTATATATTTTGTACAACTATTCGGTAAAACGAGGTAGCTATTTTGCAAAAAAAAAAAAAACAATAGATCTCTAACTACTCACATATACAAAATGACAAATAATTCTCACCACAAATATCAATATCTTTGAATACAAAAACCCAAGCTCAAGCACATTAACGACGCAGTTTATCATCAAGACCACTGTTACAGATATGAAATCTCAATGGGATTTTGTTGATGGGAGAGCTATGGGTTGAGATTGGAAAATTCTTCTATTCAATATCAAGAACAGAATTACAATAGGAGGAGCAAACTCTCACACTCAACTATTACAAAAAACCAATCCTCACCAATACACTCCTACTCTAAGTGTATTTCACTCTTCACACACTTTTCTCACTTTCTAAACTGATGATATGAACAACAATAGAACACTCTATTTATAGGGCTGATTTGGAGACAAGATATAGTGCTTCCATCTTCTCCATATCTTCTTCCCATTTTCATTTGTTGGAGAGCTCCTTCCAAGAAAGAAGGTGGAAATTCCCTACAAATCTCCCCCTCCACCTTTTTCTTTGTTTCTAGCATTCCTACGATGCTCACTGGTTCCCCCTCGCTGGCAACAAGTATCCATTCGGATGTGGAATACTTTCTCTGTGGAACTATGCCTCGCATAGAACGTCGAACATGAATACCTTCAGATTCATCTTCAGATGAAGGCTCCCCCTACTAAGGAATATCATCACTGTGAGCATCATCATCACTAACTGAACCATCACTCTCTTGTTTAGTAGTATCATGCATCTCCTCGTCGATGAGAGGAATGTTTGATGATACAGGCACTTCGTCTTCTGGAGTATGTTGTGTGGTGATGATTGGGGCACACTCATGAAACTCATTTTCATGAAATACAACATCTCTGCTTCGTACAACTTTCTTCACTTCGGGATCCCACAACCGGTATCTGAATTCTTCATCTCCATAGCCGATGAAAATGCATGGGTTTGATTTGAGATCAAACTTCTGTCTCAACTCCTTGGACACGTGTGCAAATGCCTTGCACCCGAACACTTTCAAGTGAGAGTATGAAACATCTCTTGCTGACCATTTCTTCTCTGGCACTTCAAAGTTTAAAGGAACAGAAGGTGACCTGTTTATAAGATAACAAGCTGTCAACACAGCTTCACCCCAGAATGGCTTCGGTAGGTTAGCCATACTCAACATGCAACGAACTTTCTCCCCAATGGTTCTGTTCATTCTTTCGGCTACACCATTGTGTTGTGGAGTTCGCGGAACCGTCTTCTCATGTCTGATTCCATATGCAGCGCAATATGCTGAGAATTCCCTGGAAGTGTACTCTCCTCCATTGTCTGAACGTAGACACTTCAACTTCTTCCCAATTTCTCTTTCTACCATGGCATGAAATGATTTGAAACGATCAAACACTTGATCCTTACTCTTTAGGCAGTAAGCTCATAGCTTTCGTGATGCATCATCAATGAATGTCACGAAATATCTGCTTCCTCCAAGTGACTCCTCTTCAATGGGTCCACATACATCTGAGTGGACAAGACTGAGTAACTGTGAATGGTTCTTCCTGGTAGAACTGAAGGAAACTCTGTGTTGTTTCCCAAATAGACAGTGCTCGCATGGATCTAGGGCAACACCTATGCCCGAGGAAATGGCTTTCTTCTTTGCAAGAGTTGTCATTCCCTTCACACTCAAGTGGCCTAACCTCCGGTGCCACAAGTTTGGTGATGTCTCTTCTTCAACAGCATTGAGACTTGGATGACATAGCTTTGCATGGGTTTTATAAAGAGTACCACAAATATGGCCTCTTGCAACAATCAAGGAACCTTTAGATAGCTTCCACGTACCTTCTTTGAAGCGGTAAAGATATCCTTGCTGATCCAGAGCTGTATCGGAGATAAGATTCAATCTAAGATCCGGAACATGTCGAACATCTTTCAACACAAGTGTTGTTTTCAAAGGACATACCTCTCTCTTGTGATCTGCCGCGAACTTGAGAGTTTCCTCTATTTTGACCTTGGCCTCTACCTCGACCTCGTCTTCTTCCTCCATTTCTGCCTCCCCCTCGCCTGTTAATTTTTGATATGAGGGCATATGATTGTTCAGTCCCGGCTTCTTTTCTTCGGGCTTCTTCGTTCATAAGGGCATCTGCGACCATCTGCATAGTCACCTTGACATTGGGTGCAGAATTGCTAAGAGTTACAACAAGAGTCTCCCAGCTGTCAGGTAGAGAGCTCAAGAGTAGTATCGCCTGCTCTTCATCTTTGAGAACCCATCCGGTGGTGCTCAACTGATTTACAAGATCTTGGAATTGACTGGTGTGTTCTGACACTGAAATACCACCTCGTAACTTGTGGTTTACTAATCGCCTCATTAGTAACGTCTTATTTCGAGCGGTTTTTGCTTGATACATGCTACCAAGCTTCTCCCATAGTGTGTAAACACTCTGTTCTTGAGCAACATGGTGGAACACACTATGATCGATCCACTGTCGAAATTGTGCGACAGTTTTTCGATTCATTTTTATCCAATCTTCATCCGTCTTTTATCCGGTTTGACGCCATTATTATCAAGAGGATCGGCTAAATCCCTCAAATTTAGAAAATCCTCCATCCGAGGCTTCCACATTATGTAGTTTGTGGAAGTGAGCGCAATCATGGTGTCCGACGATGATTTATCCATAATAAAATGCTCAATATATCTCGTACCTTTTTTCGAAGCCGAATTTGGACAAACGGAGCTCACCGTTGGATCCGGAATGACCGAAAATGGTAGGGACCGGTCTGATCTCGTCCAAAACCGGTCTGAAAATGGGTGAACCGGCCTCCACAAGTACGAACTGGTACAGTCCGGTTCAGGCAGCAGCCCGGTGGGCAGACCAGCAGGCTGATGACGTGTCGCTGACGTGGCAGATGACGTGGCAACAAAGACAGATTATGTGGATGACATGGACGATGACTCACCACGATGTGGCAATGACGTGGCCCGACGTGGCGATGACGTGGTGGCTGACGTGTCTCGTCTTTTTCCTTTGGACAGCGTGATGACGCAGTGATGACGCGGGCAGTTTCCGGCGTCGTTTGGGTGGCGCGTACGGACTCTTTCGGTGGCCAAAAAATTACCCAAAAATACCAGATTTCTCCTCTCGACGAGATGAATCTAACGGTATGATCAGATCGTGATTCCGAATAACTTCAAAAATCGCGATTTTCTAACCTGTAGAAATTTTTCTGAAAAATGAGAAAAAGTGTATATGGAAACTCAAAATTGCTCTGATACCACTTGTTGGGATTGGAAAATTCTTCTATTCAATATCAAGAACAGAATTACAATAGGAGGGGAAAACTCTCACACTCAACTATTACAAAAAACTAATCATCACCAATACACTCCTACTCTAAGTGTATTTCACTCTTCACACACATTTTTCTCACTTTCTAAACTGATGATATGAACAACAATAGAACACTCTATTTATAGGGCTGGTTTGGAGACAAGAGGTAGTGCTTCCATCTTCTCCATATCTTCTTCCCATTTTCATTTGTTGGAGAGCTCCTTCCAATAAGGTGTGAGATGTCTCTTAGCAACTTCCAAGAAAGAAGGTGGAAATTCCCTACCTTATGGAGGAATTCTTACAACTCAATTGAGAGAACTCCTCTATAGAGCAATCACCATTCCTTTTCTCTTTAACTTTCAAGTATAGTGTTGAAACAAATCTAAATGACATCTTAAAAGTTAATGAGTATGAGTACAAATGTTACCATGGATTTGCAGTTTATTCAAACGTTGAAAAAAATACCTGTGTAGCTACATTTTAGAAGTTTGAGCACGATTCAGTGAAAGTGAAATAATTTAAAAATATAATTTGATTAATTTATACATTTCTCTATTTATACCAAAAAATATGAGTAATTGATGAATGGAAAAAAGACTCTAATAGGACTAAAACACGGGCTTGGTATGCGGATAGAGAAAATGGTCAAATAAGGTCCTCTACTATTATGAAATCGTCACATATATAAGGTCATGTACTTAATAAAATGTCATATAAATACGCCTACTTATAAAAAGCAATCGGATGAATCAAAACCACCACTTGACAACCTCCTAATCCCGATTTTAACTTACGTGTCGTTATTTTGCCTTGTATTTAAGCCAATCGTGATCGGATATTTCATATCGGCCTTATAATCTATTTCAAAAAGATAGTCAAACGTACGCTAAAATCAGAATTACGAGGTTGTCAATGGGTCGTTTTGACTCATCCGATTGCTTTTTATAAGTAGACATATTTATATGATACTTTATTGAGTGAATGACCTTATGTGATGATTACGTAATAGTAGAAAGCTTTATTTGACCATTTTCACAAAGTTAAAACATTCAATCAAATATTCAAACTTAGACAATACTAAAATGCCATTTTTAAACATATTATACCATTTTTAAATGGGAAAAATAATAAAAATACGCCAAACTTTGAAGAGGAGTTAGGTAAACCGTAAACACCCCAAACTTGCATATATAATTTAAATATCCCAAACTTATATGGAGTATAAAAGTTATTTTTACACCATTGTTATGTATTATTTCTTTCAAAAATGTAAATTTATGAGGTTAATTACATAATTTAGAATAGAAAATTAAAAGTGTTGCAATTGTATAAAGTGAGGGTAAAATTATTTATTTCACAATGGAAGTTAGAATGTTAATTGTGTCTTCATGAATTCTTAAATATTTTAAATTATGCAATTAGCACCATAAATTTACATTTTTGAAAGACATAAGACTTGACTATGTTGATAAAATAACTT